AATTGTACGCGTTTCGACACTGTACTGTGTCTTCTTCAGCATGTTAGAACTCTTAATAATAATAAAGAAAACTAGGTCGCTTGATAACGTGTCGTATCGAAAAATAAATTGCACATATTCGTAAGAACCGTAATATAACGTGAATATAAAATAAAAGGCCAAATTCGCTATGTCAGGTTCGATTTATCACGTGGCTAAGGTGTCGAATTGTTTCTTTCGAGTTCATTCCATGTAAAATGCAGATCTAAATAATAACGGTTAATGTAATTAAACTAATGTATAGAAAAGGACTTTTATATGTGAGTAGTCACATTGTAATAGAATAATTTAAAGACACTAAGAAACCGTCGCGAGCAAGCAATCCACTAGAGAAAAAAATAGTATCGCCGCTGGTTTTACTTCTGTTGAAAGAAGAGGCGAAATTCGGTAGTTTCCCCGATAATTTTCCTTTTATAATATTCAATACATAATTGGAGATATAAGAAATAAAGTTTCAATCAGTTCTAGTCAAATAATATTCTATTATTTGTTTGTAATTTATCACTGGCGAAGAAAATATTAATCATGTATATAAGAAATGCTTTCACGTCACTTCGGGTGATAATAAACATTGCCGTATGTAATAAGCTCCGATATTGCAAGGCAAATACCATGAAAAGTTGCGGCCAAGAAATAAATTTGTTATATGTACGAAAAACAGAGATTAAACATCCCACGATAAAAAATATGCAATAATCTCCTTCAGTGTTATCAAATTTTCTACCAAATGTAAAAAGAGTCATTCATATTTAATTTCTCACTGGGTTGTAATCAATCTCGTATCAAATGTGTACTTACGTTTTGTGGCATGATTGACCAGATCTCGTGACATAATTGACCAAACCTCGTGGGATGATTGAGACTTCGTGGCACTTTGTATAACGCCTCAGTATCGATCTTTGATTCTTGGACGTATAGATCTCACATGTGAATTGCGCTAGATATCTTGTCTTGCCGGCTAACCGAGCATTGATAGCAAATCACGGGGTTGAGCGAGCGCGCGATGATATCGATCACTGCTTATTTCGCATAAGAGAGCGATCGCAGTTTCTTCCCGCGAACTTTCGCGAACGCGTATCAAGAAAGAATACTTACAAGTACGATATACAGAGCGGCGCGGGTATAACCGATTTATTCGACTGTCACCGCGTGAATGATCCTGCGTACGGCGTCACCTTGTTACGCCGAGCGCCGTAGACCGAGCTTCGATTCCAAGAACTGTGACGTAGCGTTGTAAACAATTCGGTCAAAAACCAAGCGTTGCCCCGGCTCCAAGAAATGACGTAGCGCGAACACCTCGGCCGAAAACAATCTATTGTGCCGAATTATTCGATCAATCTACCACCATTTTTCGTAGGAGTCCTCTTGTGTTAAACACCCTGTATATTATAACAAATTACCTAGATTTCCTTTTTCTAGTTTTATTAATTGAACCGAAAAGCTAAATACCACTTTGGATACATTTATTCGGGGACTATTTTTACCTGGAAATAATACAACATGAAATTATACTATTTTGTAATTGTAAAGAATATGAAAAAATATAAATTTCACCTATAAATATCTGATCTTCATATAAAATATCGCCTTATTAAAAGTGCTGTGAAATTATTTAAAAAAATATATATTCGTCAACTATAAAGTAAACTTATGTATCATTGTAATATAAAAATTGGCATGTCATAATGATGTATATAATAATGCTTCTTTGATGATGACAAGTCTGTAATAATCATATTTAAAAAGTAGTACAATTTTACAACCACACGCACGTGGACACATATCTGTATGTATGCTCGCGTGTGTATATATACATATATATATGCATGTACTTATGTAATATTATTACAATCCAAGGGGGACTAACAAAGAATAAGGGGTGAGTCTTGCGAAATAAAGTACAGCGCATATTTAAGAAAGGTAATTCACATACAACTGTTTATTGAGACATGTAGAATACATCTGGTCATACACAAAAATCTTTGACACTTTAAATCAAGCTCCTAGCCCGAAAAAAGGAACCATGTTATAACATTCGTCTTTAAATTCATCATTAATCATTATGTTTAACTACGTTTCACACTAAAATTAGGGGCAACTTGGAGAAATAAAAATTGCGGGAATTAAAAAGCGAAGCGATTGGTAGAGGAGGTGAATAATTAAAGAATCCGAGAAAACGCAAAATACAATTAGTAATATGAAGAATTTGGCGGTAAAAATTTTACACATCTGTTTTACAGCCGCGGAGCTGACATGTAGCGCAAAAAAGATAACATATACATATGTATTTTTTTTCTTTCCTTTTCGGGGATTTGGAGGCGGTGTTTTTTCTTATTGAATCTTTCGTTAATTATCGTACGATTTCCTTCTTTCTCGTTAATTAGTGCTAAATAACATCACGTCACAAAAATGCATATTCGTAGGAATATAATATATATTTTATATATATAATTAAAAAAACACGTGGTTCGTGGGCCACTAACGTTCGCAACATTTCGGCCCATGGATCACACAATATCCGCCTGACACGTGAGAGGTGGCCAATCGCGATACAAGCCCCGAATGTGAACGATTTTCCCAAAGAAAGGACACGATGTGCTGCGAATTATTATTATTATTATCATTGTCATTATTTAATCGGGGCATTGGCCGGGCAAAAAAAAAGCGCGCGCGCGGCTACGGCATCGCCAGCCACAGTGTGTGTGGTGCATTATCCTAAAATGCAACCGATAACCACCCCAGGCGCCCCAGCTGCCACACCGATTATCAAAGTAGAAAAGAGGGAGGGGGGAGTGGGACAGATAGAGTGGGAACAGATAATAAGGATGGGAAAAGGACAGGGGGGGGTGGCGATGGTGAAAACGGGGAAAGGAACACGATAGTGATACTTTTGGGGCGCCTTTTTAACCAGGGCGGAGCCGGTGGTATTATCGATAAACGCTAGTACCTAGATCAGTCTAAGAATCTCGTCACCGTGAACTGTCTCCGCTTTAGCCAAGTTATGCTTCCTTGCCCCCGCAAGCCGAACTCTCTCTTTAATCGTATCTCTGCATCTATGTATGTGTGTGTGTATACATGTGTAATATATATAACATATCCTCTTGCTTTTTTCAATGTTTTTTGCCTTTATTCTTTTCTCTATCATGCTCTTATTATTCCCTTTTATTAATTACATTCTTTTGCATGGAAAAAAACCAGAATTTTTTATACTGTAATATTATCATGTGTCACAAAAACCCACTCAATTATGATTAGCAATATCATCCTTATCATATTGTTAATATTAATATTATTATATCCTCGATATTATGCTTTTATAAATAGGATGTGTAGGTAAGTAGAGTAGGTAGGTAGATATAAAATATCATAGGCGAATAATCAGGGACGGTGGAAAAGGGAGGAGGAGGCACGAGAGGAATAAAAAGTAGATAGCTAACGCAAACCGCGATTTCGCAGTTCGCTCGAATTTTCCTTTCCTTTTTTTTCGTTTTTAGAAACAATGATCGCAATTACTGGGGACAAGATGTGTATATTAAGAACGGGAAATTTTTCTCTCATCTAATCATTACTACTAGATGTGGTTAATTCATCGCTACCAGTAAAACAGTATCGATGACGAAGAAGAATTAGACTTAAGTAAAACATGAATAAAAATTAACAAAATGCTCGTAAAATACGATCGGGCGAACAATCTATCTGTCATCCAGACTTTTCGTCCATTGGTGCGTCTATCGTTTCGCATTTTTCATATTGTGTGTTGCGTGCGCGTGCGCGCGTATGTGTATGTGTGTACGTTTGTGTAGGTGGGTGGGTGTGTTGATGATCCGGGTGTGGATGTGGGTATGTGTAGTGTTAGTCTACAAAATTGTACATGGCAATTACCATATTACGATAAGATGTATATATCTTTTATATATCTGGTTGGTCGATCTGTGGCATAACTGTTTGGTGTAAAATTACTCGATATCGTGTTACATACATATATTATCCGTCAAATCTATTATTGTACCAAATCCAATTTGAGAGACTAATATATAACCATTATGTCGAGTGTCGCGCGCGCATATTTGTGTGTGTGTGGTGGGGGGAGGGGGTGTGCATTCGTGTATGTGTGGGATGCGTATGAGTGAGTGGGTTTGAATGAATGGATGGATGCGCGCGCGTACGCGGGCACATGTGATGAGCAAGTATGAATGGGTGGTCGTGTGGTCGTGCGCGAGCGCGCGCACGCGTGAGTGCATATACTCACGTATATATGTATGTATGCAGTTGTGTCGTCTCATTTGGTGTATTATAACAAACAGAAGTCTGATATGCTATTCCGTTATTACAATATCCTTATTTTCCTTTTTTTTTTATCTTTACCGTGTTTGTCTTCATATTCCGGGGGTGCGTGTAAAATACAAATGATTTGCGTTTCTTTTTTTTCTTCCCTTTTTCAAACAATCATCCAGAACAGGGGGTGTCTGGGCTCCAGGGACAGGGACCAACTACAGCCCGCACTTACAACTCTTACTAATTAACTAACAGACTAACAATAACAACAAGTCAACACTCAAATTGTGTGCTGTATGTGTTCATGCATTTGTAAACATTACATTTTACATCCTACCTCAATCTGTGACTATCATTATCAAATTCGTAGTCAGTCATCTTTAAAAACTCTCTTTCTTTTTTTTGTAAAAGAATACAAGAAACAAATTTACTTTTTACATAAAATTTAGAAGAAACAATACACTCTTTTTTTATTTCCCTTTCAAAGGGAATAGATTCACTTTAGATATTTGTTTTCAACGATCGATTTTTAATTTTTTCAAATATAAAAAAAGAAACACATTAACAAATAAATATATTATAATTTGGATCCGAGTTTGCCTTGCTACTTGGATACTGTCATTGAAAAATTTACTGTACAAGTGGATTTCTTCTCGATTGTGAGCAATACTCTTTTTTTTCCATGTTTTTCTTTTTCTTACTCAATAGAATCCTCGCGTGACCATAATCAAAACCTAATCTGGGAGACATTTGCAGAGCCGTTGCAACGTTTCATACTCGCTACTTTAGCAAAACTTTGCCTGTATGACTCTTAATAATAATAGTTTCACTGACTGTACACATTTATAGACCAACAATAGAAGGTCTTTCGACACGCTTAGCGTGCTCCACGCGCAAATACACACATTCAGATACATTCCGTTTAAAGACTCTCTCTCTCTTTCGTTCTCGCTCGCTCTCTCTCTCTCTCTCTCTCTCTCTCTCTCTCTCTCTCTCTCTCTCTCTCTCTCTCTCTCTCTCTCTCTCTCTCTCTCTCCCCTTCCTCCTCTTTCTCTCTCTTTCTCTCTCTTTCTTCTACCCCTCTCATACATACTCACAAAATATCGCATTCTCGCCCTACGCCTTCCTTGTCTATACGACTACTATATTTTCTGTTTCCTCAGAGTTGGACTTCCGTCTCTTCAATTTCTAACTTTCGTTTGTAACTTCTCCGTTTTTCTCTCCCACGCTTATTTCACCCTTCGAGTTATCTAACACACATGCTTCGTCATATAGATTTAAAACATCTAGTCATCGCGTAATAAACCGCAGGCTTCCATGAGCTCTCTTAACTAATACAAGCCATCACAATCCCTATGTCAACATCGCTGATCTTCATCACTTGGCAGTAAACAATGTGACAATGCAGTAGTGGTACTTAGATTAGTATTATCATAATAATAATAATAATAATAATAGTACGGGGTGGGTGGGTGGTCACACTCCGATATAATAATTAGTCTCAGTGGCACATCACTGTACATAATCACAACAACAGCGGGCGATGGTGGTGGCGCAGAACACAGTTGCTGCATATCATTAATATGAAAACACATTTACAATTATTTGAATTCGATTAAGAGCGATAATAATACAAATGGATGATCTTTTTCTTTTCCTTTGTCTTGAGTTTCCTCCCCCCTCCCCCTTCTCGGTCTCTTTCTCTCTCTCTCTCTCTCTCTTTCTCTCCACATTTTGTCAGTCAGATTTTGTCTTATTTTTTCATCTTATTTTGTTTTCTATTTTTCACTTCATTTATCATGCATTTGTTCGTATGTGTTTTTTCATCACTCACAGGATTGCAGAAGTTAGCTCCACGACTGGTAAGAGTCTTGATACCATTCGTGATCGTCGCCGGAAACACCGCCGAGTGTGCCGGCTCTACTTCCGAAAGCTATGTCACCGCCACCACCACCACTGCCACCATTTACACTCGCCAATCCATATGCATTGCCCAGTGGTTGTTGGGCGAGGGGCTGGTTTCCCCAATTGCTCTGGAAGCGACGCTTAGATTCCCCCTGGTTCTGGTGACCCCCGTCAAATTTTCGTTTACCTGCTGTAAAAGACATTATCAAAATAAGACTGAGAATCATTTGGAAGAAAATCGAAAAACATACATACTAAATTAGGGAGCACTTTTTTTTACCATGGTGCGTGATGCTCGCAAAATATTGCAAGAAAGGTGAGGAAAAATCTCAAGAGTTCTTGTGTTATTAAGTGTGACGTGTTCGTAAAATGTTTATATGTATGGACGTACTGTGAAAATCACGTGAAATATCAAAATTATGAAGATAAAAAGTTAACTAATACCTTCTAATGACTTTACAAAATTGCAAAAATTATAGACTTTTGAATTAATACGTGATATAAGCATAAAGAGAGTCTCACTAACCTACAGTTTTATTACTATCAAATGGATGGGACTTGGATACCTTGGTGGGAAGATGGATTGGATGGTTTACTGTAAGACAAATATTATATGAACAATTGGTGACAATGTACCAAAGTACATGCAATCATTTGACAAACTAATATTATGTATGCACTTTGAAAACCTTAGGCTGACTGAAAATATCTGTCATTAGCAAATCTGTAAAAAAAGAATCAAAACGTAATAATAACTCTGTAAATACATAAGTTTGTTAAATAGCAAGAAATTTTTCTGGACTCAATATATCAGTTATGTTTAGAACAGTGATTAATTGCGATTGTTGCATTTTGGAAGTGAGGAGATAAACGTTCCATAAACATATCAACATTATGTACACATTAACATCAGAATATATTTTTGTACACAAATGCAGAAAAAAAATTATTCAAAAAGTAATACTATCTGAATATTGCGTTTCTTTTTCCTTTATGAAACAAATCGAACAAAATCAAAAATTTCTTACTCGGAAACCGAAAAGAAATATCTAACGTGAGCTTTCTAGCAACGATAATATATCACTACTTGTAGCAAGTAAAAAAATTTATATGGAAAATTATGTAACGCAACAACCTGCATAAAGTTGTAATTATTACTAAACAGCAATAGTAATTGCAAGAAAAGACTTTACATTTGCTGAAAACTAGCAGCGAAATACCTTAGAATGATATACAGCACTAAAATAGCCAAACAATACCATCTGCTTATGCTGTAATATTAAAAGTATAATATGTCGACAATATATTATACTACATTTCGATGTTGTAAATAATCTCTATCTTTTTAGTAATTCCACGAAATCGAATTGAATTAATGGTACAGAGTTCCGAATCTTACTTTCTCTTCCCCTCTTCCTCTATCTCTTTAACATTTAAATAATTAATGCTTGTTTGACATAAAGTAATCAATGTATCATGTATTTTTCAGAAGTCTTCAAAATCAATCTTAATAACATCAACGTTAAAAGAATTTTCACAAGATAAGAGCTAAACAATACCATGGTATCGATACAAGCTCTCAAGTGTATCATAATGATTCACGATATGTGAAATTATGTAAGAATATCTGTGTACGTCTGTGTGAACGCGCGTGCTCAGTGTAATTAAGAATTAAATGTAAACAGTGTAAAAGACGATTTATTGTGGAGATACAGACCATCCTCACCTGGTAAACTTCCCTTGGCGCGGACCCCCCCACGAGCGGCCAGCCGCTGGACCCCACGGACCCCTGAAGTTGCGGGGTTGCGTCCCCCCCTGACTGGCCCACGGGCTTGCGGGCCACCGATTCGGCCACGTGGCGCTACTCCACGGCCACGACCAGCCTACCCAAATAACATCCAAACTGTTACCCCATAATTGCACAATTATTTGCATTATATTTGCGTTTTATTTGACTCTCTTTTCTTTTCCTTGTATATCTTTATACGTCTTTTCTGCCCTATATGCAATTTAGTTAAATATCAAACAATAGTAACAAGTAATTCGCGAGACGCTACCGCGTCTCCAAATAGATAATAGTAAAAGATATAATGAAAACAAGATCGTTTGGTTGGTATACCGCTAAACGATCGGAGTTTCTTCAATATACATATATGCATTTTATTTGTAACGCGCTATCTTTGCAGCGTAGACGTACATTCAAGGCTTTTGTATATATATATACATCCATGACGACATAGCGTGAAAAGAGACAAGTAAATAACAGAGAGAATAAAGAAGGAAATGAGAAACTTGTGAAAGGATGAAGGGCACGGGGTTGTGGGGGGCAAGGGAGAAAGAGAGAGAGAGAGAGAGAGAGAGGGGGGGGGGAAGAGACAGAGAATGAGAAAGAAAAAGAAAGAGAAAAAAGGGAGAACGTGGCAGAAGAATTAATCATCAAATTTACTAACCACGTTTTTACATAGTGTTGCATGAGTTAGCAGAGTTATCCAATGTAGAAAAGCGAAAAGCAAATTGGTTGGCGTAGGAACTTTTAAGCGACACAAGCTATTGCACTGGCAGCTAAAACAAAATTCAACCAAAAGGCGTATTATATAAATAAGCGGCGCAGCATTGTTAAAAGCGTTAAAACAAATGTAATTTAAGCGTAAGCTATGGTTTTTATATACATGGATGTGAGGACGGTGGGAGGCCAAAGCGAGAACTGCAAAACATGTTCACTGTTGTGCTATATACGGGGGATGCAATCCTCTCTATTCCGTCATCTATCTCCATGGTCTTTACTATACCTATGCATAATTCAGTGTACAAGTTATAAAATATCATTAATAAAGTATTATAAATCATCATCGTGACACATGATACGGTAAGCCATTTACGAATAGATTCATCGATTCAAATGACGTTTATCACTCCTTAGTTCCAATACTGCTGTTTATGATTTGCGACAAACTTTTCCTCCTGTTTGACAAAAATCAAATTGGTATATTGAATTAAGTTTTTTTTTCGAAAGTTAATACGATCCATGTATACGCTATATATACTGAACATAGAATGTATCTAGTAATATAATCATCGCCTCTCGTGAACAGATAGAGTCAGAATTGACTAGAAAAATCTACCATTTTGCGGTTTTCATTATGAAAATTCATAATGAAAATTTAATTAATTAAAACCTACAAATGAGCATACATCGCAAAACAGAGGACTTTGCTACTTGATTTAACTCACTCTACCTGCCCACAAAAAGTGATACAGTCATTACCGGACACACTTGGTACGTAACGTATATATGGCTTGTTGAGTGACCGTTTCTTCAAATTCGATGATATGTATGGTAAGAGTACGGGAATCGAATTTTTTTCCTATAAGAAACTGAATTAACGAATCCGATGCGTACCACGAGCGTTATCGTTTACACGCAGTTATGTTTAACAATCTAGCAATTGATACTAAGAAGAAAAAGGTGACATTTGATCTCAAGTCAGAAAAAGACATTCTCGAATGGGACGAGGATGGGGACATTTCATTCTATTGCCATCGTTATTTATATTCTTAATTGGAATGAAATTTTCAACTACGATAAAGGACTTTGTTAAAAGATGAATATTTCTGTATTATATTTAATTAGAAGGAAATTCGATAATGCTACGTAAGCCAAAAGAAACAATGACAATCTAATAGTAAAAATGTGTAAAAGAAAAATATAGGAAAATTGATGCGTAAGAAAAACGTAATACGTGGGTATCGAAGTGTGAATGCAGCAAAATAAAATTGATAAATAAGGGGTATTTAGAAGAGATTAGTATATTATACTTCCTTGGGAGACAAATAAAATTGTCAAACGCGATCGTAATTAAACATATATTCAAAATAAATAATAAAAAAGCAAAATTAATGTTAGAAAAAGATGCAAGATGATGTGAAGACAATTCGAAGGAGGCTTTCCTCTGTTTGTCTACTTCGCCTCTAAAGCGACGGGGCTAACTACATGTATACATCATATAACACGGGGGAACATAGCAACGCCGGATAACATGTAAAAAAACTTAAATGCGCACGTCATATACGTTATCGCAATAGCGAGACACTGCCAAGAGAAAAAGTTGATCGCAGTATAAAAATGTTACAATCTAATAAAAATGAAACAATAAAATAAAATTTTGTTTCGCGTAGGGCGCCCATACGCTCCCTTTTGTCATGTTTGGATAACCCTGCAACTTGACATAGAAAAAGTGTAACATCATATCCGAGCCACGAGACGCAACGTCGCTCTACGAAAAAAAAAGAACAGATTACTCGTACATGGAGACTGGAATATAATAAAATACGACGGCGATATAGAAAAATCCTGTACACTGCTTTCTGCCTACATCTGGAATTCTCCTGAAGCTGCGCTAGAATAATAATGGCGGTGGAATAGTGTTAGGAGATCCTGCAACACTATAAAATGTGCAATCTTCTTCCTTGGGAGGATTTACAGACATTCTTGAGGTTTCCATTTTTCCACACGTCTTTCCTGTCTTTTCTTTTTATTTCTTTCTTTTCCTATATTTTTAGCTTAAATTGCTTTTCCCGGCTGTATATTGCTTGAAAATTTAGAATGGGTCTACCATGGCTCAGATATGATTTGCAAGCAATTTGAAAGTGGCAATGTGTTCGGATTATAAGGTCTAATCTTAGTATCGAAGCCTTCAGGTTAGTGTAGTACAGATTCATATCATAGGGTCTATATAAATACAATAACGTTCATAGTGTGCTTAATGGCATTCTCCTCCTTTCTCTCTCACACACATTCTACCCCCCTCCCCCCCTCTCTCTCTCTCTCTCTCTCTCTCTCTCTCACCTTGAATTCAGAAATTTTATAGCTTAAACAAGTACTATACTGTGGATGCGGTGCATTCAACGTTATGAAGTTGGGATTATATTAAGATATACATCTCCCTGCATTAATAGTGGATTATAATAAAGCTAGCGCATACTCAATTAGCCAGCGTTAATTACACGCTCAGACAGAGAAAATATATGGATAGATATGTTGATCTGGACGAGTTGGAGAGAAATACAATGTATTAGGAGAATCCGCGAACACTGTGCCACAGTCAAACTACTGCTGGTATAAAAAAAAAGTAATAATGATTTCAGGAACGAAAACGACTTTTTAGAACCATTAAAAAAGGCGACCCACCGGTTGAGGCTGCCTGCCTCTCCCTCTGGCAGGCGGCGGAGGCGGCGCATAATCGAAATAGTAATCTTCATATCGATAATAGTCATCGTAATAGGGATCACTGTAGCCACCTCGATAATCCCCATAACCGTAATAGTCGTAATCATAATCTATAAAAACACACATTACAAATAGACCCAAATTTAGCCACGATATATCCAATTGACAACTTATTCAGATATAATAATACTATTTCAATATTATAAGAAAGGCATGCCGGGAAAAGATAATTTCGAAAATGCCAATATAATAGAAATGAAAGAGAAAGAAAAACAAAAACAAATTTAACCGTATATCGAGAATAAAAATATTTGTGCGGAAGATGTGGTCTTCGAAACAAAAAGAAGGAAATCATTGTAAAAACACTCAGAGTATATACAATACCGCACAAAACTCCGTAATGATTACCCTACCACCATCACATTTCCTGAGATAGAAAATTGCAAGGCCATTCGAAAATTTCACATTTATTTCAAACAGAATATAACTCTAAACTCACCCTATCAAAAAAATGAATGAAACTATCTCAAATAATAGTTAATAGATATGAAAATATTTTTGTAATTATTACTCAAGAGTTAATTCAGTAATAAAATATAATTTTAATACGCAGATTCCTATGATTTTTTTATCTTTTAAATTGCACATGAAGACATTTATAGCTAGACATTTATAAAAACAAAGAAAAAGTAAATACTCTGTAATTTAAAAGACAAATATTGGAAACAGCAAATATTGTAAAAAGAAAGTTTGTAGATTTCAATGAATAACATTAATTCTCAATGACCTCACAATATGTACCTTATTAAAATTGGGCATTTAAGTTAACATAAAAAGGAAGAAAATACACAGTACTACATATGATACTTTACAATTGTTGCATTCATCATTCATCATCACCGCTTACCTATTTCCTGGAGAGCTGTAAACAGATTTTTGAATTGATGATGCATCGTACTAGGTACACAAAGTTCACACACGCTCACGTAAACACAAATGAATGAAACGAAAATTATGAAAAATTGTTTGCCTTAGCGATGCATGTGATGTTCTATGCACTACCACAAAATAATTCTCACTGGGGCACCAAACAAAAGTACAAAACAGGTAAAAAAATATACATGCAATTATTTTTCCGTTTAAAAAAACGAAACAGTTATCACAGGAAGTGGTAGTGGTAAGGCAATAAGGTGTTCGTATTACACAAAATGCTAAGCACACATCTAACATACATATATGTATCCATATAGTGTATGTGTATCTGTGTGTATCTCTGTGTGTGTGTGTGTGTGTGCGTGTGTGTAACAAATATACAACATTGTGATCGTCACACTTATATAAATGAATAAAATCAATCAAGAAAACTAAAGAAAAATGCATTACAAATATTTCAAAACTAAACTCAGCTTTCAACTAAACCAATACAAATAAATTACAAATAAAGTACACATAAATTCAAGTTGATCCTTATGTCTTATCTAAATTATTCTTCTTATGAAACAATTTGTATTTAAGTATTCTTTAAAATAATTAATTTATAACATCTTATAATATGACATTTTTCGAAATGTCACAACTTACGAAGAGAATTATATTCTTTGAAAATACATATATTGTACTAAATCAATAATTATTCACAAATTTTACACCTACTTATGCCATTTATGTTATCAGTTAGGATACATTTATAGAAAAATAACATATAATGTTATACAAAGAAAAAATATGTTTTCAGCCAAGAGATCAAAAAGATTTTGATTAAAAAAAGAACTATAATGTAGGAAATGCTCAATATTTCTTACTCACACGTTCAAAATAATCTATCATGCGCGTAAGCCAAGATACGTAATGAAATAGTGAAAATTTCCCAAAAGCATGCGAATATTATTTGTTATATAAGTATTATGAAAAATATTGATATATCCAATTATTTAATGTACTAAATATTCTCAATTAGAGATGAAAGAAAATCAAATGAAAATTATACGATAAAAAGGAAAATTGTACATAATAATATAAAAATGTGTGGTATACGCGTGTGGGTAGGTGGGTGGGTGGGTGTGGGTGTGGGTGTGTGGATGTGGATGTGTGTGTATATATGTCTATATATTCTCATAAACTTTTATATACCTTGCAAATAACTTTTATGTACACATTAATTTATATGTATGTATTAATTCAACATACATTTTATAAAATTTTATAATTCTTAACTGCAAAACTTCTATAGTCTCAATATAATTACACAATTAATGACTTGATTTCTTAATTTTTCTTGTTATATACAAGATGTAACATAATCTGGATATAACTCGAAAAACTATGATCTATATTGTTATTATCTTCTCGATATATATTAAACATCTTATAGTCCAAGTATAACAAATAATTCCATAGTGATATTATAGATAAGGGAAGCAGTTTACGTTTAGATGGAAATTATTATTGCCTGAGAGAAACACAATTAGTACAAGTGGGTGTATATCAATATATGTGATATAAAAAATCACTAAATTTTTTATTAGCACAAAATTCGAAGTTGCTGTTCTGTTAGGACGCTCGCGAAAAATACACGAAACAGTGCAGCAAAAAGAAAAAAATCAAAATTGGTACTAACCGTAATCGCCACGTCCCATCTGTCCACGCATACCTGCACCGGTGCCCCGAGGTCCCTGTGTGGGCCCGCGAACTGGCATTGGTCCTCCCATCATGCTCGGATGAGACGGAGATCCACTGTAAAAGGTAAAGGTATATGTGTAACACCTATAATTTTAATTCCAATTAAATAAGTAAAATAGAGTGTTAAAGGGTGAAGTACAATGAGATACACAAATGCTACGGATTAATTAAAAATAAGTATAAGTATTGATTACTTACCCGCCTCTACCCTGTAACATTTGCATCATTCGTCTTTCCCTGGCGCGCAGCATCTCTTCCTTCTTCTTCTTATCGGATGGTGGTTTTGCTAATGAAACTTCTATGTGAGATCCACCCATTTCCTTACCATTCAATTCATTCATTGCCTTAAGAAAACACATACAGATAATTGAAAATTAATTGTTACTAGCAATTGTGATTATTAAATCAAATGTAATTTTAGATATTTTTTACCTTAACAGCATTATCTCTATCTTCAAAGTGTATAAAGGCGTAGTCCTTGATTTTTTTCACTCGCTCGATTTTGCCATATTGTTCGAAGCTTTCTTTCAGTTTCTCTTCAGAACAATCTTGCGTCAAATTTCGCACGTAAAGCACACGAACCTGAAACAAAACAATTGTAAAATATGTTTGATTAATACAAGCATTGAGGAATAACACCATAATGATAAAACTAATTAAAGTTGATCGTATTATCATTCATTTACTTTGGACATGGTTTGTTCATCTGGCTCCTCTTGAGGATCAGCCCAGTCGACAATAATATCACATCCCCAAACTTTGATACGCCCAGTGCTCAATCTTCGCTTGGCTAAGGAAGCTGCTTTGTGAGATTCGTATTCCAAAAAACAAAAACCTCTATTCTTCTTTTTGTCATCTGGTGAGCTGTAGATAATCACCTCTGTCAGGCCAGCTATATATAAAAAAAAACCATACAAAAAGCAGGTGAGATTTACTCAAACTTGATGAGACATTCGCAAACTTAAAAAAAATTGCTACTTTATGATAAAAAATAGAAACAATGTCAAAACAAAATATAAATTTAAACAGCTATTATGATTTTATATATGATATGCTTGCAGTGAATAAAATTTCCATTGTATTTTCAAGTAAATATAATAATTATACTGCTTATCTTGAATATTCTCAGATATTAAAAAATTTTTATAAAATTATATGTATCTTACTATAATCATTTTTATTATAAAAAATAATGTTTATGCTTTATATGTGACTTTTAATTTTTCATAACAATTATGAATTAAACATAACAATTATTATTTATGCAGCAAGAATATTAATTAACAATAATAAAACTAGAGAATAAAGAACAAAAACAGATGCAATAATTACGTTAATATGAGTCAGACGTTACATTAATCTGTAAGATTCCTAAAGTACTTGAATGTACATATTTTTGCAATATAAAATTGTCACATTGTTTATATTCTCTAGACATTATTGTTTCTCATAAATCATTATTATTATTTCTTCATCAGATATAAATGTTTTCTTACTTAATTACACATATGAAAACAAACACGTTTAAAAACTAAAAAAGAAGAAAAAACAAGCTTTAGAAAACAAATTTATCAAATAAAATTTCATTAAAAGAACTATCCCAGGATTAAATATAAAGGAAAAAAATAAAAGAGACATTACTTCACCAAATGCTCACAATCTATGTCATAATAAAATTTCAAATAAAAAGCTACGGAAAATCAGGATTAAAAGAAGAGAAAAAATACAGACGCTATTAATAACTACAAAGAGAGAGATTTGCAAGCTCTAAATTCTGTAAAACACTTTTGATACACATATATTCTTTGTCACTTTTACTGAATCTGCGTGTTTTTTTAAGAATTTGAGAGGATTATTCAATAGGCATATAAATATTGTGAAGTAGAATAATTCTCATGCTATTAGAATTCTCATGCATTACGACGATTCAATTACATGTACATAAAGAAATCGACATTTTTAAAATATTATAGGATATATCCTTCATCTCTCTATGTCTTCTAATCCTAAGATGTGGAAATATCAATCGTATCTCTCGATCTGATTTCACTCCAATCTGAATTTGACAGATCTTTTCTGAAAGTAGCAGTAAAAGTACTGAAAGATTGTCACTAATAATAAGCAATTTAATAATTTCCATGAGGCAACTTAATTAATTTCTTTTTTATATTTCAGAGGCAGTCTTTCTCTCCTTCCTCTCAGTTTAGAAACTATACTACTTGGGTAACAAGGCATCTTATACATATTTTCAATACTAAATATAAGCAGTTACGCCATCGATTTCATATATAAAGATATCAATTTCATAAAGTAGATTAAAACAATTTTAATACTTATTAATTTAATTTAATAATTAATATGTATAAAAATTTGATTTACCAATGGTAAAATATTCATTATTCATAAAATCAGTCGATACTTTTGGTTTGTTGTTTGTCAATTACTGTTTATGTCTTATGTTATACAAAACATATGGAAATAAAATGCTTAGATGCCTTGTATCATTATATCAATTGTTCTCTTAAAATTAGTGTTCAAATTATCTCTATGTGAATTTAATAATTCAAAGTGATTTCCTTTATCATCACTTTTATATATATTAATCTCCTCTCTGTGTCCATATACTAATGTTACATGCAGAAATCTTATGCACATACATACAAAATGTAATGATAATCAGACACATTCATTCGATCACACTGATCATTCTTTTTTATCATATTTACACTTACACTATACAAAAACAATATGTTTTCTTTTCATATTAAATTTATCGTCTGAAATTAGATCTCATAATAAATACACAATTATTTATTCATAAAATACGGTTATGTCTGTCTTAATTCATACATTAACATATATATTCATATATTTAATATTATGTGTAAAAGAGTAATATATTTTCCATTTCAAAAGATAAATAAATAAATAAAGGAAAACCTTTAATATTTCATAATTATATATAAATACAAATCAATAAATAATAGTGGCTGTATACAATTTGCATTCCAACATTGAATTTTGTGTCCCAAAACCAAGTACACGTAAATTCTCAAAACTGCATAAAGTATAAAAACACATTCTCCCTTTCCTTGCTCTCTTTCCCTTTCTCTTTCCACACACTCGCACATACACACTCACACTCACACTCGCACTCACGCACACACATACTCTCTCTCTCCCCCCTCCCTTCTTCCCCCAACCCCCCTTCCTCTCTCTCTGTTCCTTGCCTACTTATGCACATGTACATTTATGTATATGATGACGTGACGTAATATAGGAGGGGTGTGTGTGTGTTTGTATGTGTATATGTATGTGTGTGTGTGGAAGGGAGAAGGGAATAAATGGATGGATGGATGGGCAAATGGAGAAACAATCAGCAGATAGGCAAATGGATGGGCGGTCGAACGAACAGACGAACGGACAAATGGATGGATGGATGGATAAACAGGTAGATAAATAGATAGATAGATGAATAGATGGTAGATAGATGGACAATGGTGGATGAATGGATGGATGGATGGATGAATGGATGAATGAAAGGCTGAATGGACGAATGAGTCAATGGATAGATGCATGAATAGATGAATGGAAGAAAAGAAAAGCGCGCGCGTACGTATGCGTACGTGCACGTATGTGCGTGTATGTGTGCATGCGCATGTGTGTGCGCGCGCGCGCGTATTTGTGTGTGTATCAAATAAAATAGCAGTATAAACTCGATTGGTTGTAGGACACAATTACGATTATCTACTTATGCAACGGTGCACGTTTTGCAAACAAAAAGTTATTAGAAATGAAAATGAAGGAATTATATGTGAGAAGAGTTCACATTTGGCTTATAAATAAATTGGTCAGCGTTACCAAACATCAATAAAATTTTCCAAAATGAATAATAAAAATTTTGTTTCTCTGAGTACCAATTCACAACAAAGTTTTTGTTTCACATTTATGCAAGAGGGCTGGATTTTAACCCACCTGGCACCTCTGTTACCGACTAATGAAAAACATCTGATTCGTTATAAGATGATTAAATTTTTGTCCCATCATCTCTCCCAGAGAACTTCCATTGGTTACTGCTTGCTGATTTAAGGACAATTGTCAACTTACGTGCGTGCTTTGTAAACTCTTCGAACAAGTCATCTCGGTCTCGATTCTTTGGAATATTTCCCACAAACAAGCGGTGATTGTTATAAGATACGGTAACACCAATCTTTTTCCCTTTCCGAATCTCATAATCATTCAGCTGTAAGAATAATGTGGAAGGAGAGTGCCAATTAAGCTTGCCATTTATGATTTCACCTGCTTATTGGCTGATCTGAACATAGGATTTCATGAAGTGTCCTTTGAGAAAAAGGGCGACTGAGGGGGCAGGGAAGGAACAAGGAGGTGGAGGATGGGGAGATTTTATACAAGAGGACCACAAAAGCGTTATTCGAAGGACCACGGGCATTTAATAGTTTGAAAGGATTGATATATTATACAGGGTGGGTGGGAGTGCCTGTCCGTTTGTTAGCGAGCCAAACGCCCCAGCGGTCCACGCAAATCTCCCATACCCCCAAAGCTTAAAGACTTAGTGACGAATCACATTTGCATATTGCAATGGTGCAAGACAGCATATATTTTTCTGTCAGTACAAATAAAATAATTCTTAATCTAAAAATATCGTACGGCTTCCACATTTTCTCTTTCCATTTCTTCGCTTCTTTTTCACCGTTCCCAAAAAAGAAGACGAAGAAGATATCAGTAATAAATATTGATGAATTGATCAGTTGCGATAAATATGAGGATGGGAAGATCAAGAGGATGATAGGTAATCGCATGTATAGAGTAGGAAGCAGATAAACTCATAAATCAACCTAAATATGCAAGGAAAAGAAGACTTGGACCAGAGAGGTGTTACTGTTCACTAATAAACCGAGAGGCAAGGAGACTGACCAGAACTAAAGGTGCCATAAGGTATATTCGCAGATCACAGGATCCATGATCCTTAGATGCTCCATAGTTTCGTACCATCTACAACCACTACTTAAAAGCTAGCACTCTTAAGTTATACAGGTAGACAGGTAGGTAATAGGTAGGTATAGGTAGGTACACACGCCTCGAATTCACTTTACCTGTTAATTTACCAAATTCCTCCAAGATCTCCTCTTTGCCTTTTGACTTTGGTATGTTCCCCACGAAAAGTCGTAGATTAGGAACGCTAATGTTTACTTTCAGACTCTTGCCGGGTTTTATTTCGTGATTATCGAGCTGTGGGATGCAGAAAACAGACACATGCCTAATTTTGTTCCAATGAGGCAGTTTGTAGTTTTTAAGATAATGACAGCAGACGGAATTTGGGAAAAATTTTCTAAATATGTAATTCAATATGAATATTTTATTAATAATGTGGCGTGGGTTCACGAAAGCGAGAAAGTGGCATGCGCTTTGTCGCTCGAGTCTTCACAATATAGGAAACCGGCCTTTCATCATGAACTCCTGCAAACAAATTTTAAGCCTGCCAATTTTCAGAATTTTGTTACAAAAATTGTCACTGTCCAATGAGAATCAACCAATTAGATAAATATACCCCTAACCAATTAGACCACACAATCATCATGATTTTCTCCACTCCCAATTTTGCCCACTGAGCAAAGAGGAGAGCTGGAAAAGAAACTCATCCATAGGACATAATTAATATATATTTCTCAGTGTTATTAAATATGTAGGATCAGTTGGATATAATTGCGTATTTAAACATGAATAAATGGTCAGGGACATATACATATAAAACATATATTATGTGGATTGTTCGTACGGATGTGTGTGTGCGTGTATAAAAAAATATCTATCTATATATACACATATATATGTAAGTACATATATGTATATATGTTTCCGTTTATTTCACGTACAGGATATCTCCTAACTCGAACATAAAACTTAAATATCTTTGCTATTCTAAATAATAAATTAAATTCTGATATTAGTCTAAATCTGCACAATAAGATAAAATTAAAGCTATAAGGTTTAGTAGTTTTAAAGAGCATGTAATGTAGTGACAATACTTTTGTTATGCGTGAAAACAAGAAGATTCAAGGACAACTCTCTTTCTCTCTTCCTCTCTTTAAATATAAATATATGATTTTTCTTACATAATATGACTCTTTTAATTATTCTCCATATAAAAGTATCAATGTAAGGAAATTTATGGAAATAATATTTTTTGAGATAGTTTTGTGTCACACTATACCACAGCAAAGTATTAAATATTTCATAAACTATTAATTTTATCTTAATACTTTTATACATATGTATATACAGAATTACATGTAAAAATCTTAGGTTTAGAGACCGCGGAAACTGTTTTAGAAAGGGGGCGCAAAATAGTATAAACAAATTTTTTAGATTATGTATAGGATGTCTATTAAGTCTTTTTCACCGCTTATATTTCAAAGACGGCATAAAATACGGAAAACATAGAAGATACAAGAAAGATTAATACAAGAAATTTGCACAGTTTTAAGTTGACATTAATAATTTATGTAAAAAAAACCTCTTTTATTTATAACTTTCTATGAAAGTCACTATTGCTTTTTTAAATGATTAATTATATTTCTTTGGCAAGGTTAGCAGCCTACGAAAGATGAAGTAAAACCAAATGCTCAAAGTACTAGAACGAACTGGATAAAACAGGCTTTAAACCTAATATACAAGAATTATATGTTTTTATATGGGTGTGTACTACAATCTTTTCAAAATCTCAATTATTTTCTAAGGAGCGCGATGCGCCCCCAAAATTTAAACAGGGAGAACGGCAGCGTCCCCTGCGCCACCTGTTCCACGGTTAGTGATATGATTCAATTTATAAACATCAAGTTGCCCCTAAAATCTCCTTTATATAGAAGATGCCTCTATATACAATAAAAGTATTGTTATTATGTGTCCCTCAAAACTGTAAAACTATGTAACTTTAACAATTTTTTCTTATCAGTTATAGTAGCAAAGATATCCAAGATGATCAAGTTAAATAATAATGTTGTACGTGCATCACATATACATACACACACATGTGTACCATTCTACTTTTCACTCCCTCTCTTTTTCCCATCCCCACTCACTCACTCCTCTCTCTTTCTATCATTCTTACTCTCTTGTTTATCCCTCCCTTTCTTTCTTCCTCCTCTCTCTCTCTCTTTCCTCCTCTCTCTTTTTCTCTCTCTCTCTTTCTCTCTGTCTCTCTCTCTCACCCCTTGTTCTCACCCTTACACACACTATGTGTGTGTATGTATATGTGTAAAGCTTTCTTTTTTCTAAATTGTGTATAGAATTTTTGTAGATGTAAATTTGAAAAATTATAAAAATGCATGGACTTGATAAAATAATAACATGTTTGCATTAAATCTACTAGGAAATAAAAAATATAATACGAAATAGATAATACAGAACAAGCCACATAGGAATATAATAACACTCATTCGAAATGTTCAACAAGGAAAAACATAACGTAGATGTATGTGTGTATGTGTGTAAATATACACATAGACGTACATACACACACATACACGCACACACGCACCCATCCCACACAGCAAGTGGAAAATCTGTAGAATCTGATCAATATCCTGCGAGGATATTGTAATATCCTGAAGATATTCAATAGAAGTCATGAATATATAAGAGACATGAATTTCTGTGAAATATATGTTTCAATTATTCCTGAGATCTCTGATTATTGCAGTTTACAGTAAAATCTTGAATATATATAAGTATATTATAAAACTTTGATATGATAATAGTAGTTATTCGGGAGTTATCTGGGAGAATATTTCTAATTCGTCTTTTTTGCAATTACAAAATACTTAGTCATTTGATATGCATTGATTCAAGTTTTCAATTCTTTGCCAACGGAGATCGGATTGAGTCAATCCATGGCGACTCGTTATCATATGAGATCATATACCAACTCGCCTCTACTATGGCGGGATAATTTTTAAATTCGAAAAAGCCAACGCGCGGTTGCCGCGTTGCAGCAATGAGTGGCACCAATGCTTGCAACATCATAAAAATCCATATTTTTTACTATTAATATTTTAGATAGAAAAATTTTATATATATTGTGATGTCTATTAAATGAACTTTATTTTCACTTATGAAGTCAGGGTACAACCACCTTAACAGAACTAAACTTTCAGGCCCGATTAATTAAGGGTGCCATATAACAGTGCTATTAAAGACATGCGAAATATATCCTTCAAACATCTTTAGGATATCACTAAGATGTATTTTATACATTGAACTTTATTAACTTGATCGGGATAAGATATTGCTTGAATATCTTATACAGGAAAATTTTTGTAATATCTTCAGGAAAATTGAGATATTTTGTGTATCTACAATAGTTTCAGTATATCCTACTGATCTCCATTGCTGTATGGTGTGCATATATATAGATATAGATATTAAATATTCATATATGTGTTCATCTTTCCATCATGAATATGATTAGAACTCAGCTGTAACTTACATTAAAATACTAGCTATTTGAAAATTAAAGAATCCAAAAAATATTAGAAATAAAACTTTGCAAAAATCAAACTTGTCTAATTTAAAAACATTTCGAAAGAGCGCTATATTGGTAGCAATAACAATTTTGTAACATTTCTAAAAATTTTGAAAACAAAAAAAAATAAACGAACCAAATTATCTATGTGTGTGTAACGTTAATAACTAGGGCAAGAGAAAAAAAATTTTTATATATTGTATACAAAATATACATAAATAATTATATGTTACGAGAGACTTGAAAAAATATTAACATACCTCTCGAACAGCTTGCTGCGCAGCTTCCCTGTTAGTAAATGTGATAAATGCGTATCCTCTGTTGGAACCTGACATGGGATCCATCATCAGTCTCAAGTCCCAAATTTTTCCGCATTTCTCAAATAAGGGAATTAATTCGTCTTCATACATGTCTTTTGGGATTTTGCCACAAAATACCTTTTTATAAAAATATTCGACATAATAAATTTAAAACATAATAAACAACTTATAATAAAAAATATACAACATGTTTTCTGTGATAATTAATACACTATATGCGCATTCAGTTGATAAAAATGCGCACACACTAAAATTGTACATAAAGCTCTTTTTTTTATCATACATATATGTATATGTATAACAGCATTATAGAAGTGCCTCAACAGGAAATGTCGGATTTGAAATGCATGTCATTTTTGTTGTATAGTTTTTGAAAACTGATATTTGACAGCTGTCATCTGGAGATACGGCAAGCTAGAAATAGAATGCTATACAGGGTGTCTCACACAAGAGGACCCCTAGGCATGCGAGGGACGGGCGCGAACGGTAAGCGCGAGTGGTGAGCGACACGGGACACGACTAATTCAACAACACATTGTTATTATCCAAACACTTTACAAAAACTCAGCGGTTATTTATGGTGGCTCATAGCAAAATTGTATGAAAATCTCGGTCGTAACACGCTTTCTGAGATTATAATAAAATTTAATCGCGGCGATGACGTTTTTTTATCTTCGACTGAACCAGTTTCCATGAATTTCATAGATTCCATTTCTAATTTGTCTCCAGATGACTGTCAAGTATCAGCTTTCAAAAACTGACACAACAAAACTGGCGCGCATTTCGAATTCTACATCTCCTGTTGAAACATCTTTTGTACAGACACATATGTATATACACATTTGTAAAACAAGTCAAATTTACCTCACAACCAGTTCCAGGAGTGGGACCCTCCCAATTTGGTGGAGGACCACCATATTTTCTTTGCCCAGTAGTTACATCCAAAGGGTAGCCCGTTCTTTCCAGTATTAACTAAAATATGATAAGTATTATTATAAAATAGCATTTACATGTCCAAGCACACGGATTAAAATTAACAACTTGGGGGAAGCTTACATATAGAAATGTGTATGTGTGTATGTGTGCACGAAGAAAATAAACAGACTTCAAATTACCTTGATTTTGTCTTCATCTGGGGCTTTTGGTGTCGTGCTGGTGCCTGTACCTTGACCAGCACGACTTTTCTGTCTGTAGGTCTTCATTACTCCACAAAGGTATGCCGATTTGTTAGATACATGTTCCAGATTCGATTCCAGAAATTGTGTAAGCACATTTAACGCACCGTCGACCGGAAATTCCTTCAATGCGTCAAGCGCTCTCTCATCCAGATCTATATGAGCCAATTTCCCCGTCTTATAAATTTCATCCAATTTGGCAGCCACTTTCTCGTCTAGTCCATATTGCATGAGTTTGTTAAAATCTTCTGTCCGTTCCACATTTTCCATTTCTTGTTTTTCTTCCATTTTTATCTCGCCATTTCCTTCTGCCATAGCTGAAATACAATACTCGCATTAATCAACAATTCTTATCTCTCATCACAACCAATTATTTGGTTATATTACACACACGCACGCACGCACACACACACATATGTACTCTTTAACAAACGAAATTCTATATTATTTCGCCAGAAAATAACCATGTTGCTTGATAAACAAATTCGAACGCATAACGACAAAATTATTTTCTAATGTACTTTGAATAACAATGCGCGATATTAAAATATGTTTCTTCCATTTTCTCCGAGTTGTAAAAACCAAACGAGCAACATCCACACAAATGTAATTTCAAATTAAAAATGGAGTATCGTAGAAGTGAACACTGGCAATGAACTTTAAACATGGCAGAAAGAGTTGATTGCAAAATAATTGATAGCTTAACGTAACTCATAAAATAAATCGCTATTTCGAGCGAACCTAAATCGTGAATCAAGCTTTAGTTATTTTCACTCGTCCAAGGAACACTCGTGGGAGAAAATTCGTTTCTAACGCGAAAACGCGCTCTCTCGAAACGGCGGGACAGAAAGCCGGGAGGAGAGTCGGGGCGCGCGAAGGGGAAGAATCGCGAACGCATCCGCTCGGCGCGACCGCGCGGCTCGGCGATGCACCCGGCCAATGCATACGTACGGAACGCTGTGACGGAGGACTGGAAGAAGAAGAAGAAGAGACCGGATACGTCGGGGCGAGGGTCGCCCGAGATCGAATCTCCCCGGCGCACGAAACTCGAAAATAAAACAACTAAAAATATCCAAGTGACGGAGCACAAACATCACATCTCCGTTTGATACGAGAAACGGGCGGAGCGGAGACGAGGAAGAAAATTTGCGATGCGGAACGTCCTGTGTTATTGATGACACTCGCCGTTCGGCGTACCGAGTAGGCCGCGAACGATCGAGCGCAATCGGTTTGCACAGGCGGCGACGGCGGCGGCAACAGTGCGGCGCGGCGCGGCGCGGCAACAGCGCGGCAACAGCGCGGCGCGGCGCGGAGCGGAGTGGAGCGGAGCAAAACGGAGCGCGGCGCGATCGCCGCTGTGGCCAAGGATTCGCGCGGCAAAAAACCTCGCGGTGATATATCCCCCTATTCTCCGTTACCCGATGCCGTCCTCGCGACAGAACTCGCACTTTTATCACACGCCAGGCTCGCCGGCCGGCGAGATGCAACACCGCGCTCTGCACCGCGGCGGCGGCGGCCGCCGTGATGTACGATGCACTTGTATGCACTCCAGACATATGCACCTCGCGGCGCATTTATCTCTGTATATTTTACACTCGCGCTCGCGGAATCGCGACGGCGAACGGCGCCGTGGCACGGCGCCGGGAAGCCGGCGGTGCCGGGCGCGAGAATCGGACGGCGTACGTTACCTTGCGAAATAAAACGGACGGGCTCCTCCGCGCGAGGAAATGGCGACAGACGTCAACGTGATTGCGGACTACGGGGTTCACAAAACGACGCGCAAAGATACGCTCGAACCCAGCGACACGACGTTGGCCATTTTCTCACCGCAGCCGCGCTCGCGCGAATTCTGATTGGCGCCCGCGAAACGGCTCGACGGGAAAAAAAGTCGACCGCTCCGATTTGACGCGCGGAGCGGTCAAATCGGAGTACGCGCCCAGAGCACGCTCGGGAACTCTCTCTCGCTCGTTCGTTCATTCGTTCGCGCGCGCGCGCACACACACACACACACACGTACACGCGCGCGCACGCGCGTACGTGGCCAACGTCACGCGAAACGGGATATTCGAGGTGATTCGCAAGCGCGCAACGAAATTAGTCTCTCCAAGTCGAGAACACGGCGGATGCGAATTTCGCCGCTTGCGACGCGAGCGACAAAAGGGTTCATGGTAGAAGCAAGTATAATAGTATGCGATCGCGCCGACCAGGCCCTCTCCCTGGCGAGATCACCCTCGCCGAGTCTGAAAATCATGAGACACGTTGGACTCTGTGTTTAATCGAGATTAGGCATGAATTTCAAGCAACTTTTAGAAATATCGCGCTGACATAGCGATTGAGAGGCTTCTCCACAAAGGGGTAAACTTAAAAAAAGAAAAGAAAGACGCGCTCACCTGCCAACGCGGCGAGATTAACCTCGCGAAATCTGAAAATCACGAGACGCGTTGGATTCAGCGTTCAATCAAGACCGAGCATGAATTTCGAGGAATTTTTAGAAATAACGCGCTGATATAACCTAACCTAACCTAACCTAACGGTTGAAAGACGGTTCCACAAAGGGTAAACTTAAAGGAAAAAAAAAAGGAAAGAAAGCCCTGAGACGCGTCCACCTGCCGGCGCGGCGAGATTTAACCTCGCAAAATCTGAAAATCATGAGACGCATTTGGATTCAGCGCTCATTCAAGATTACGCATGAATTTCGAGCAATTTTTAGGAATATCGCGCTGATATAACCTAACGGTTGAGAGGCGTTTCCACAAAGGATAAGAGAAAAAAAAAGAAAATCATGAGACGCGTTGGATTCGGCGTTTAATCAAGGTTAAGCGTGAATCTCAAGGAATTTTTCGGAAATATTACGTAACCCAACGTTTCCACGAGGGGGTAAACTTACAAAAAAGAAAGAGACAAAAAGAAAATCATGAGACGCGTTCACCTGCCAACGCGGCGAATATCGTCGTGGACGCGCCGCGACTTTCGCGCGCGCGCGAACACGCGTTTGCGTTCGCATTTTACGAACGGACCCGCGTGAATAATCGCGAGACGTGCGTTTCCGCGCGCTCGCCGCGAATACGAGGCGCGTTTCGCGATCCCGCGGTATCGCGACGCGGTGTCCGTTACCGACCGGCGCGAATCCGCCGGGCGGCGCATCCCGCGGAGAAGCCATAACGGCCGCGCACGGAAACGTCGCTCACGCGGTGCATCCGTGCGACTGCACTCGCGCCCGTCGGGCGATCTGCTCGGCCCTCGAGTTACGCGCAAATCGGCGCCAATTGCATTTTTTTCGTCTCGCGTGTCTCGGAAGGCAAAATTTAACACTCGGCGCTCCGTCGAGTGGAAAGGGAGGAGATACGCGGACGATCGACGGCCGAGGGGAAAAAAAATCCCTTCGGGCAACACGCTATCTCTTTTCTTGCGGCTGTTGCTAGCTCCGCTTGTGAATCATTATGTAAGAAAATGGAATGCATTTGTCAAAGCGTTCGTTCGATTATCCCTCGCGCGGCGGAGACAAAGCGACGGCTCCGCCGTCTTACACCGTCGAAAGAAAGACAGAGATGGAGCGGGAGGAGAGGGTGAGAGAGGGGAGAAAGAGGGAGAAAGAGAGAGAGAAAGAAAGAGCGACAGAGAGAGAGAGAGATATAGCGAGAGAGAGAAAAGAGAGAGAGAGAGAGAGACGGAGAACGGAGTGATGTACTCATGATAAAAGATACGTGGGTACCTGTGCCGAATTCGTGCCCCGGTATCAATTTAGCAAATTCGTTGCTTTGGCGACGAAGAAATCAGTTGCGACGGCAACGCAGGAAAAGTCAGGATCTTCCACCGAATGTCGTAAACCTCATAATTGGTTGGCACGTCACAATTTTTTCGCGCAGAACGTATTCTGTACTTCAGATTGGCGACCACGACAGCAACGACGGCAACGGCGGTAGCGGCGGCGGCGGCGGCGGCGGCGGCGGCGGCGGCGGCGGCGGCGACGACGGCAACGGCAGAGGCAATAGCGGCGGCGGCGGCGGCGGCAGCGTTGACGACGACGACGACGACGACGACGACGACGGCGACGACGACGGCGACGGCGACGGCGACGACGACGGCGACGACGACGACGACGACGGCGGCGGCGGCGGCGGCGGCTGCTGCTGCTGCGGCGGCAGCAGCGGCGGCGGCGGCAGCGGTGGCGGTGGAGGCGGCGGCGGTGACGGTGACGGTGGCGGCGGCGGCGGCAGCGACGGCGGCGATTTGACGGCGGTGACGGTGGTGACGGCGGTGGTGGCGACGGCTGTGGTTGCACTCGCGGTTATATTCACGCCGTTGCGCGTAATTGCACTGACAATGAGCGATGTACGAATGCAGCGCGCGCGCGTGGTGATAAAGGAGGATCGGAGCGACGGAAGGAATGCCCGTTTTGTCGCGTGCAGCCGGTGCGCGTTGCTTCAAACAATTAAATTTAGTTTCATGTAGGCACTTATGTGTAAAATCCAAAACGAAAAACCGAAAACAGATCAAACAGACACACAAATCCTGTAGATTATTTCATTGGCGACGGCGGTGGCGGTGGCGATGATGACGACGGCGACGGTGGTACTGACGATGATGATGATGATAGTAGTGGTGGTGGTGGTGGTGATAATGGTGGTGGTGGTGGTGGTGGTGGTGATGGTAGTGGCGGTGGTGGTGGTGGTGGAGGTGCTGGTGCTGGTGGTGGTGGTGCTGGTGGTGGTGGTGGTGGTGGTGAC